TCACCTCTTACGCCGATAACCCTACCCCTATCTTACTGATTTAATTCACAATCATACACTAATACACATACATAAACTATGAACACAATGAAGTTCTGGGAAAAGATTATGCAGATTCAACACGTATGAGCACACATAATGAAGTTTTGGAAAAACTGATGCAAATTAAACACACATATGTGCACACACATACCTTTCTCTCTTGCGTCTCTCGTTCTCTCTTCCTAATTCAACAAACACACACACACACACATACTGATAAACCAGATTGAGAACATTGATAAGCCAACACCTCCCTCTATTACTCTCTTTCTTGAGTCTCTCATTCCAACAAAGGATTTTCACCGTCGGAGCTAGGTTTTCATTCAGTGAACCTCCAAGAGCGAAGCGACCATCAGTGAATGTGTGTAGTTGTTCAGATCCGAGATTTTAGGGTTTTTAGATGCTCAGGTGGTGTCAATTTATGTGTTCATCGGTGTATGTATGTGATGAAGGTCTGATTATCAAGCACTTGTTCAGCACCATTATTTCCATATCTCAATTTTTTGACGACCCAATCTTCAGATTCTGATTCAATTTCTTGAAGGTCCAATATGCAGATTCTGATTCTTTACAGTGACTCAAGTTCACCATCGAAAGGTATTGCAGATATAGGTTTTAACTCGTGGTTGTTCTTGTGTGTGATGAACCCAATAGATAAAGGGAGGGTGGGGTTTACGAATTTGGAGGGTGGGTTAGGATGCTTTAGAAGATTGAGACCCCATTTTCCATGAGAATCGTTTTTTGGGGGAATTCCATTTGAGATCAAAAACTGCTCCGGTTCTAGGGAATCATTCCAATGATGGTGATGGCTTAAGGTTTTTTTAAGGTGGCTCTAAAATTTTGTTACCTGGTGTTTTTGTCCTTGAAGGGATGAAGAAGACGATGAGAGAAAGAGGGTTTTGCAGGTGGAGATAGAGAGAGAGAGAGAGAGAGAGAGAGAGAGAGAGGTTACCGGTGAAGAAGGATGGATGGGGTAGGATTTTTTTTTTAAACATTTAAATAGTAAAATTAATAAAGAAAATAGAAAAAACAAATCAAAAGGGTAAAAGAGTCATTTCAAAATTGTTCAGGGACCAAATCCACGAAAAGTTTGTGATTTTGGACCAGTGGTGCAAGTTGGAAACTTTTTGGACTACATCCACATTTTTTTGCTAACCACAGGGACCAAATTTGCAGTTTAGTCAAAAAACTTTAAGTTTTAACATTTGGGGTGTTTGAAATTGCTTATTTATATTTTTTCAATAAAAATATTTATTAGCTTATTGGATGTTAAAATGGAGTTTTAAAAAGATATTTGGTTTAATTTGTTCGGTATCAAAACTTTAAAAAATGATATATTAATTTTAGTATTTGACAAATGGTGCTTATATGTGTAATTAGGAGTTGATTTATCAAAAACTCTTTAAATAAATCATTAAGTAAAGAATAAAGGGTGTTTGGTGAAATGTGAATTTTGTAAATCACACCATTTTACATAAACTATGTAAATTTCATCTAAATCCGAAACTAGAAAATTATTGTGTTAAAATTTATGATAATGTCACTAAGTTTTCATTCTTACTAAACTGACATCATTATGATTTGTTAGTTTTATTAACACGTGAATATATGTTTATTTGGTACATTTTAATTATATTGTATATTCATAAGTGAATATTACATGATATATTTGTTTATATTTTATATTCATATGTAAATATTATATTTATATTGTATATTTATATGTGAAGATTATATGATATATTTTATTTTATATAGTATATTAACTTGTGAATATATTCAAATGTGATGATTACATTGTATGTTCTCCTTATTTTGTACATTCACATATGAATATAGATCTTATAAATTATATGATATATTTATATGTGAATAATGCATGGTACATTCATATGTGAGTGTAATTTTTATAAGTTCTTCACATGTAAATAACATATAACCAAACATCTTAGTTTTATACTCTCGATAAACATATATTGAATCATGTGTGATGGTATATTCACATGTAAATATCACATGATATATTCATATGCGGTAATTATATTGCATATTCACATATGAGTATCACTTGGTGTATTCATATGTGATAATTATATCTTATATTTATATGTAAATATTACATGATATATTCATATTTGCATGCTACATGATATAATCATATGTGAATATTACATCATATGGTAAATTCACATGTGAATAATATATGACATATTTAGTTTATGCATTTCATCAAACGGTTGGAATGCACACAAGTTAACTTATATATTTATGGTAAAAACATTCACAAATAGACTATTTAAACTCCACATATCAATATATCAACATGTAATTCCATGAAAAACATATCAATATAATTTTTAGACAAAACCTCATAGATGGTCCCCGTGGTTTCCCGAAATCTGGGATATAGTCCATAAGTTTAAAAAACCTCATAGATGACCCTTGTGGTTTCAAAACTTATAACAAAGAAAATTTGCCTAGACCCAGTCGCCACGTCGTGGTGACCTGAGCCACGTCGTGGGGACTGGTATGGGCAGCTTAAACCATTAAGTCACTTTCATTTCCAACTTCAAGGGCTCCAAAACTCAGATCCGGTCCTTTCTAAGGTCCAAGTGGATAAAGTTTCCAACTTTATCCCTTTAGACCCTCCAATAGATAGAGATCTCACTCCTAGGTCTAAATAGGGCAAAAACATGACATGCCTTAATCAATAAGCACTTAACCTATAAGATCTATTGACCAACAATTCCAAAAGGGTTTCTTGCACCATTTCCATCATAAAAATTCGTGTTTTTCAGGCATGCATGTCTAATGCATGCCTTGAACTCTTATTAGGTCAAAACAAGGGCAAAAGGGCCAAGATTCCTTGTATGGCCTTAGAACTCAATTCTACTTCAGATCCAAAGAGCCAAATAGTCCAAGTGACCTGGGGATTCATAAAGTTGCAAACTTTATGAGATCCCACCCTCCAAAATCCACAAGATATGAAGAAAAGGGACCAAAATCCAAGATCTATCAACTTAGCAAGGAAAGGATTGAGTCTTGAACACTCACCCAAGTCCAGAAAGACGTGCTAGAAGATATATGTTGCTTACAAGGTGATAAGCCACACCAATAACTTCCTTCTCCTTTAAAGAATACCAACAAAGCACCAAAAATGAACTTTCAAGAGTGATGAAGGCTAGGGTTTCGAGATTAAGGGATGGAGGCTGAAGAAGGTGACCTAAATGGGGGTTAAGATGTTTAAATATGGATGAAACCCTAATAATTTGTGGGCTTGGACCTGAACAGGTTCCACGTCGTGGCCATCCATTTCCATGTCGTGGTGGCACTTGAAAACACGTGTTCATTAAATTCCACGCCACACTGTGGACACCATGCCCCACGTCGTGGCTGAGCATTTCCTCCAAATCCTTATTTGATTTCTTAGGTCTTGGCCCACCGTCTTCGGAAAACGGGATGTTACATATACTTTTGAAACAATGATTTTTGTAAACACTTTATGGTTAATGAGATGTTTATGAAAAAAAAAATATTTCTATGATTTTTGGGATGTTACAGAAAGGACTTGAGGAGATGCCTTGGATTCACTCAGAATCTTGCAACACTAATAAAATTATGCTTCACTTGTAAAAAGAGCTTAAATGGTTTATCATCAGCCAAATCAATAAAACAGTTACTATAAATTATAATAGTCTCTATAAACGGTCTAAAAAGTATAATGGTTAAATCACTTTAGAAGATAATAGAGTCAAGTTACAAAATTGATAAAATGATTAAAATACAAATTCTCTTTTATATCTTTCCCTAAGAAAATTTGTAATATATTTGATACCTTTTTAATACAATAATTTATTCTTTATTTCATTATGTAAAACACTAAAAAGAAAAAAGGAAAATAAAATTGGTAAAAGAATTTTAGATGCTTAAAAAAATAAGTTTGAAATGTTATACGATTTAATAACTTAGCCATGATATTTATGAAAAATATTTACTAAGTACTTGTAGTTTGAAAAGTAATTACCAAAGAATGGTAAAATAATTATGAGTCCTTTTTTATATTAAAACATAAATAATTGAAGTGGATCCCGCATGTATCCTTTCTCTCTACTTTTGTTTTCTTCTTCCTCGAAATTGTGGTTTCTTTCTCGTCGGAGCTGCCATTTTTGCATTAAACTGGAGCCTCTCCCCATTATAGGTGAATAATAAATACACAAGGGGAGAGTAACTCCATCCCTCCTTCTCAGCGGCTATCTCTTTAGGAAGATGGGTGCTGCTGTTTTTTATTAAAAAATCATAATAATACAATGCAACAACTGGGCAGATGGTTTGTTGCACTTGAAATCATTCAAAAGAGACCAATCACATTGCTTGAAGGAGTGCTCCCTTGGAATGCCACACTGCACCCCTTACTGCACCTCGGGGGCGGTGTTCCTGCTGATGTGGCACTCAAGTGCGGCAGGGGCCGCAACCCACTCCCTCTAGTCTAAGTAGGTTTATCTCATAATACAATTATGGTAATCCCTTGGATCAACAATCTTTGGATCATCTTAGTCTAATTCATATTTCGGTACCTTACGACCTTGCCATGAGTCGCTTTTGTCTGTCGGTTTAGCGGCATCCTCGCTCCTAGCGGGAGTTCCTACTTGCTTGCTTTTCTTCTCTACGACCATTATCGAATTGTAACTTGTCATTTAATTATATGAGATACGAGATTTCTCCAAGATTTGTGTTTTGTAACAGTCTCGAGTCTCGCTATCCTGATCTTAAGTTAAATGTAGTTGTCTACTTACATTCTTAGAGTGATTCTGGAGCAATCGGAAAATTCTTGACTAATGGTTTTAGTCTTTTAGAGATTTCGCACAACTAGTTCTCCTACGATGTTTGGTTTTACCTAGTTAAAAAATATATAAGCCTTGTTTCTTTTCCATGATCTTTTTAAATGCTTGGTTTTAGACATGTCACACATCGAGTTCTCAGGTTATAATCTCTTAAACACTGTTGGTTGTTGCCGACGGAAAAGAAACGGTGAAATTCCAACCAAAAAGTAAGAAATGAAAACTCAAGAAAGAAGAAAGGTTGAAAGTAGACTGATGAGACCATTTTATTTTATTTATTAGTAATAAAATATAAGCTATTGAGCTTATATTTTTGTAAGTACCACGTTTTTGTAAAAAACTCCATTAAATTCTTTTACCATCTTTTTGTAAATATTTTTAAAACTACCATCATTTGTAAATTCTTTTTATAATTACCACGTTTTTGTAAAAAACTCCTTTATACATCGTAAAAGAATTGCACTTCTTATTTGTTCATTTGACCCAAACGTCAAAATTGGATCTAATGTTCCCATTTTGCCCCTGTAGATCGGCTTCACTTTTCTGCTAATACGAACGACAACATCAACTACACGAAGTCATTGACTCCACCTTCGCCTCCGGCCGAAGACGCCTCCGCCTCCGGTCTCCAATCGACAACGCCGACAAAGCCTTATCCTCCGGCATCCAGTCGAAGACACCGACGAAGCCTCCTCCTCCGGCCTCCAGCCGCTTCCGCATCCCCCTTCTCTCCTAATCTTCCTAAATTTGGGGGATTTGGAAGGAAGAAAATCGTCTCTTGATATATATTCGGATTACATAATTACCCCTAAAATAACTATATAACGAGATCAAATAACACAGCACGTATACAACTACAAGGAGTTGTAGCTTTTTGCGCAATCTTCCAAGCCGCTGGTTCGTCTCTGCAACAAGGTAAGTTTTATTTTTCTTCTGTTTTTCTTCTCAAGCTTCTATTCTTCGTTTATCATCTACTGTTATAGGATCATATATCAATTGAATGTTATTATTAATGGTGGTTGTTAGTGGGTTTATATTCAATTATAATTTTCAATTTGGCAACACAAAAGGTAGTTTGCATTTGTCGACAACTTTTTTATCCGGTATATATAATGTATTTCTATGAATTACTTTACAGAACTAGGTATAAATATTTGTTTGATTACTGTTACATTGACTTCAAATTGGTTTCAGTTTATCCAGTATATATAATCTACTTCTATGAATTATTTCCAAGAGTAATCCAAATGAAGGTGCATTCTTTGAGTTGTTACTATGAATCAACTTGATATAGAAATCAAAATCTGAATGCTACTCATCTTTTTTGGTAATCCCCCGTTGTTTTTTCACCAATTTGTAACCCAAGAGTTGACAATACTTTCTCATTCAAGTCCAGATACAAACAGTTTCAACTTTTGTTTTGGATTGGTTAAAAATCTGCCAATTTTTTGCTTATTTGGTCAAAATGGAGAGCTGACAATACTTTCTCATTCAAGTCCAGATACAAACAGTTTCAACTTTCTAGTAAATTCATGTTGTCGTCCATATAAATGCAATGAACCATTATGAGCCCTTATTGCTTTATAGGGCATCCAAGGGTAGAATGGTCCTTTTCCACTAAACTTTTAAATAGACCAGTAGCAGCAAATACTCATTTTTGATTATTGGTAGTCATTTGTCCTAATCTACGTTTTCACCATGAAGCTTGGAAAATACTCATTTTTTGTTAGCATGAATAGCATCTGAACATGCACGTTGTAGTTTACTAAATTATTTGATTATTTAGTAAAATGATTTTCGTTATCATTAACAATAATATATAAAACTTTTAGCCTCAAAAGATTAGTTAGTTTGGTGGGAAAAAAAAAAGGTAAGGGTAAAATTGTAAAGTTGTTTTCCTTTCTCTTCCTTTTAACTCGGGAACACCTTTTTTTTTTAGCCTTCCTTCCATTTCATTCGAACTCGGGAACACGAAAGTAGTTATTCCTTTCCTTCCCCTCCCTTTCTTTTGTCTCCATATTTTCCTTCCCTTTCTTTTCTTTCCTTTAGTAAACTCGGGAACTAGGTGTCAATGAGTAGTTACTGAACAACTGATGATATTAGGTTTTTGCTTCATTTTTTTTCCTTCCTTAATTTGAAATTGTGGTTTTTTGGACTCGAAGGATTCATGAGGTGATCGATTTGTTAGGCGATGTTACTCGTTGATGAAAATTGTGGTTTTACTGAAATTGTAGCATATAGATGAAATATTATTTGCTAACATCATCTTTGGTTCATTATGGACTATACACAGTGTGAATCCATCTAAAGTCACCTAGAATACATATCCTTGCACTTTACAAGACAAAAATAGACTATGCAATGTCAAATGACCTAACAAAAATCTGCATTTGCTTAGTTGTTTGTCAATCCTAGTACTTACTCAATGCAAAAACTCTTCAGATTTTAGTATGAATGTACCACTACATGGGACTTGTTAAGAACCTTCAGTTTTCATATAATGTTCATAAATTCCTTTTTGATCATTTACCATTTTCATTAATGGAGAATGGTACGATGCTTAGTTGTTTGTCCAAGATAAATTTCTTACTTCCATTGTTTTGTTCATCTCAAATTCAGTTGATCAAGTAACATTTTCATTAATGGAGAACGGTATAAACAAATGGGAACTTCTAGAAAGCTTGTAAAATCAAATAGTTTGCTATTCAGATTGTATAGACTCTAAATGCATACAACTATCTTTGATCTTTTAATTCTTTTACACACAGGGGTAACTCTATGCACTTGGATATATTTACTACTTTGTCTCAGTAATCTTTGTTTTTACTTAAACTCTATTTTCCAAATACAAATTTATTTGAGTCATTTTAGAAAAAATAAAACAAAAGTTTTATCTTACAGTGAACTACTAGCACTTTGCAGGATACACTCATTACTACTTTACTACTATTAATATGATATTTATCTTACAGTGAAAATACTCCTAAGATTTAGATTATATATATATATATATATATATATATATATATATATATATATATTCTGGAAACAAATATTATCTTCCACTAAATCTCTTATCTCTTATTATTTTAAAATAATTCAAATAGGAAACAAATCAACTAAATAATTGACTAAAACAGCCAATAGGAGGCTGTGATCGGAAATACAGAGCGATAACATACCTTTTACTTTGGCTTTTCAGGATTTCCTGCGGATCTTGGAACACTAATCTACGCGTTGTTACAGATCGTTATTACCGCACTAAATGCACTCTTTGTAGATACAGCCGGTAGAAAACCACTTTTATTGGTAACGAAAACACATTTAGCTACAAATTTGATTTGGTCACACAAGCACCTTTTAATTTCATGTTGCAAACTATTCGTGACATTCTAGTTTTTGTTGTCAATTTTATGAAAAAATGGACCAGATACGACCCGACCAAACCGGATAAAGAATGCTTATGCTGCCAGGTCTTTTCCAAACCGACCTTGACCGGACCAGTCCACTATAATATTTTTCTTTTAGGTTTCAGCAATGGGATGTCTATTAACTGCGCTTTTGTTCTACTTGAAGGTGACAGTTGAATCCATGGGTATCCACCACCAGCACCTACTTCTACCCTTTCTCTTTCTAGCCGTACTCCCACTCTCCACCAGCTACCACCACCAGCGGACTCTACTACAAAGCAGCAACGTTTCATGTCCTCTGAACTTTGACTTACTCCGTCGTCTCGCTGGCTCTCGTCGCCCTACTACAGATGATCCTGCAACCGCCTGCCGGTACGCTCAGCAAGGTCTCCGGTTGGTCGAAGCTGATTACCTTCTTCGTACAAACTCTTTCGTACCGCCGTTGAACTCCGCGGAGTCATGTTGGGCGTCTTACCAAATCCTGGCTAATGACTTTTTCCCCAATTTTGATCTGCGGCAAACATGCCGCTTCCAAACGAACTGGATTGCCGTCCCTGGTTGTATGAATATAAGTACCCGTCGAGAATTCGAAAGCCATGTTTCTAGATCATCACTGAACCCCGTCATTTCAGCTTGTAACCAGTCGCTCTCCGGTTCCTCTTGTTCAGCATGCACCGTCGCGCTTTCTACTCTCCAGGCATCATACCTTAACGGCGACTTCGTCGGAAACCTAACGGACTGCCGCGCTTATCCATTCATCTACGCTGCTGCCTTCGTTAATCCATTCGGCCCCACCGACAGAGGTACCGCAGCCTGCTTATTCTCCCTTGATATCGCTTTATCAAAATCCAAGAAGAAAAACAAAACACTTATAATTGTCATCGTCGTGGTTATCGTTGCAATCATTCTATTTGGAATTGCGATTGGATTTTTGTTCTATCGGAACAGAAAACTCAAAAGGAATCGAAGAACAAGAAACGATTCCAATACCGTCTCTGCTTTGGACTCGATTACCGGAAGCACAACGCTAACCAGATACACCATCGAAGATATCAAAGAAGCCACTAGAAACTTCTCGAGAGATAACATAATTGGAAGAGGAGGTTACGGAAACGTATACAAAGGTGTTTTACCTGATGATACCGAAGTCGCATTGAAACGATTCAAGAACTGTTCGGCTGCTGGCGATGCAAGTTTCACACACGAAGTGGAAGTAATCGCGAGCGTCCGCCATGTAAATCTTGTGGGTTTGAGAGGATACTGCACCGCCACCACTTCATATGAAGGTCATCAACGGATCATCGTTTGTGATTTGGTTAAAAATGGCAGCCTCCATGATCATCTTTTCGGGGAGTATTCATCACGAGCCAACCTCAGTTGGCCGATCCGTAGAAAAATCGCTTTGGGTACAGCTCGTGGATTGGCCTATCTTCACTACGGAGCACAACCTGCAATCATTCACAGAGACATCAAAGCTAGTAACATACTCTTGGATGAAAATTTTGAGGCTAAAGTTGCTGATTTTGGGCTAGCTAAATTCGCACCCGAAGGAGCCACACATTTGAGCACCAGGGTGGCCGGAACAATGGGGTATGTTGCCCCGGAGTACGCGTTATACGGGCAACTGACCGAAAGAAGTGATGTTTATAGCTTTGGGGTGGTGCTTTTGGAGCTCTTAAGTGGTAAAAAGGCTCTTATTGGGGTTGGGGATGGTGATGGTCAACCGGTTCTTCTAGCTGATTGGGCTTGGTCAATGGTGCGAAAAGGTACACCTTTAGAGGTAATCGATGATAGTATGCCGGAATGTGGTTCACCTGAAATCATGGAGAAGTATGTGTTGGCGGCAGTTCTTGCATCTCATCCTCAGTTATATGCTCGGCCTACAATGGATCAGGTGTTGAAGATGTTAGACACGGATTTACCAGTTCCTTCAATACCGGAAAGGCCGATTCCGCTTATAGCCGGAATCGAGGATATCGAGAAATCTGTTAGTAGTAGTGGATCGGGTCGTTTGTCTACTCCTAGAGGGTATCAGTCGTTTGAGATAGATGGACAATTTTCCACCAAGAGGGAGCAGCACGAAGGAGCCCGTCTTTCGGGTGGCAGATAGCACACCTCATACAGGTACTGTTACATGATTTTATTCTTTTTTTTTTCCCACTCGAATCCTTATGTGGTTAAGCTATGAGTTTGAATCATAGACTTGTATATTATGTTGTAAAGTAGGATTTTGTAAACAGAGGAAACCCGATTTGATGTCATTTATCGTGTCTTTGAAGGAAATTTCCACTTCGATTCGTTACAATTTGTAAAAGTAAAAGAACAAACAACTTTATTTATTTATTTATTTATCATACTTGGTTTCTTTGCAAAGGAGCACACTAAATACATTTACCTATGGGTGCAAACTAGAACATGTTGCTATTTTTGCATAAAGTAGGGGAATTTGTCCTAAATTGAAATATATTGAGTGTCAACACTTGATCAAACTACAACAATTCTTGGACATACTTTGTTGAATCTTATGGCATTTCGTTTTCATAATACATTTTTCAAACAAATTGTTGAGCACATCAATGTATTTGATGCATAATCTTATTCCTATTAGATACATTGTACTTTTTTTATCTTAATATATTAAGGCAATGTACTTTCCTGTTTTGTTCATTCGTTTGTTCTAACACTTGTTCAATAGTGACATGTCATTAGAGAAGTGTTCAACTACAAATATCTTATATCAACATCAACACTCATTAATAACAATATATTATAAATTACATGTTAAAATAATGATATATTATGAGACGAAGTAGCACATTTGTTTGTCACATTATCTATAATCATACTAACCTTTTAATATATATTTTTTGCAGGCCTGCAAAACTTGAGATCTAAAAAAGTATTAAACTAATGAAAATGACAAAAATCTATGCAAATTGTGTATAGATACTTTATATTTTAAAGGTAAAGGGTCTTGTATTAGCCATGACGACAACATAACACAACTTGCAAATTACCAACTAATCCCTTTCGAGATCTTTGGAAACCTAATATTTTTATTCCAAAAACTTTAAATTAACTTAAAAAAACTTAATAATCAAAATAAATTCGTCTAAACAATAGATTAGTGGTTGATATGATGAAGAATGCGAAAAATGGAATATTTTGTTGAAACAATTTTATGAGAAAACTATTTATTTTGCCTAATAGAAAGGAATAAATAATATTTCAAACAATTATAATAAATGTTTAATTATTAAAAAACGTGTTAGAAAATGTTTTTTAAGATATTTTTTATTGGTTTGACATTAATAATGTTTTTTAGAGCAACATTTGACATAATAAATAAGCTTTATAATTGGCTTGACTTAAATACTTTTATTTGTATTTTGGGAAAAAAATATAGTTCTTATTATATATATATTTATAAAAACTATAATGTAAAAGTAATAATCTATTTCTTCAAATGAATGAGTATTACTCATATAAACATATGTATGTATAAAGACCAAATTGTCAATGAAAAAACAACTTGCTTCACATATATCACATATATGACCTTCGACACATAAAAACCCTACCTATTAACAAACAACATCAAACACCAAACGCCAAAGAGTTGGTGAGCAAATGCATCAAATAGAAAAAAAAAAAAAAAAAACAAGAGAACAAAGTTTCAACATATATAACCGAAGAAAGCTAATACCGACAATAAGACAATAAGCAAATACAAGAATACCGGTACAATACGATACATAAAACACAAACTAGAACAAAATAAATATAATAAAGGATCCCAGTCTACTCGACTACCCTAGTACTAAGTCTCCAAATACTCTTGTCTGAGGTATTGTCTTCTGAAAGACCTAACTCCTTCATATCTAGCCTAACACTATCTTTCCACTTCCTTTGAGGTCGTCCTCTCCTCTTTGAACTCTCCACTGTCTCCACCCTCGTAATTGTTGCCGTTGGAAGCCTCCTATGGATATATATGACGAAACCACCGAAGTCTACCTTCTCTTAATTTTTCAGAAATTGGTGCAACTCCTAAAGAACTCCGAGTTTGGTATGCTGTCGAGCAAAGTTTTACCGAATGAGCACCTCAACATCCTCATTTCTGCGGTTGACATTTAATGTATGAAGTGGAATGACTATTGAAGAGTTTAATAGGGAAAATAAATGTTGTATATAATTGAACTAATCTATTAAACTTTATGATGTACTAAAAACAAAATAAGTTTTGTGCAATGGTAATCCGTCTAAAAGGAAAAAGCCATTGGTTGAAACTCGAAACTCCAAATCTGTCGCTATATAGTTTGAGATGGTGGCATGCAGTACTTCACAATAGGTCCAGATAACTGCCATTATATTGATGCACACAAGATACCAAGAAAGAACAACCCATGTGCAAATTTAAAAACATCCATCGATCTAATCTTTAAACACTACAAACAAACTTGTTTTTAATCGAGCTGTCCATAATATTCCTCTCAAAAAATAAAGAACAGTTTGTGTTATTTTGCTTCACTTTCATATATAAATGCAACTAGTTGAATACATATATATCTAACATAACTAAAGAGCTTTCATTTTAGATCCTAGTTTCTTCACAATTTTGATATGGCGAATACCGAGACCCTGAATCAAGATGACATCCGAGCCCCACTCGTCGCTCAAACTGTTGATGAAAAACACGAAAGCATCAAGCAGAGCAACTTCATGGTTTATCTCAGCACCTTCGTTGCTGTTTGTGGCTCTTTCGCCTTTGGATCATGCGTAAGTTTTATATTTGCACCATACGCACACTAAAACCATAATAAATTAAAACTGCTTGTAATTATGTATACTCCTGTTTATGTTTGTTTATTTCTCAGGCGGGTTACTCGTCGCCTACTCAATCAGCCATCACAGAAGATCTAAATCTGTCCTTAGCTGAGGTTAGTACGTTCAGTTTCAGCACACGTGTTATAATCTCTAAATTTTAATAGAGACCGATTGCGGCTGAAATCATATCTTTCTCTATATATGTTGAAGGACTCCACATATCTAACAGTATGGCTTTTTACAGTACTCATTGTTTGGATCAATCTTGACATTTGGTGCAATGATCGGGGCGATCACAAGTGGACCAATAGCGGATTTTGTTGGCCGAAAAGGGGTAAGTGCATGCTTAATTTGGGGCTCGAATCTTGTATGTAATGCACAAAATCATAACCGAGATCCATGCATGTATACATACAGGCATTGAGGGTATCGAGTGTTTTCTGTTCAGTGGGTTGGCTAGCGATTTACTTTGCTGAGGTACGTACAATCGTGTCCTTTTGAAATTGTAATTAATTATGCATGGCATGAAACTAATTATAAGAGGTTTGTTTTATTACGATATATATATAGGGGCCCGTGGCTTTGGATATCGGAAGACTAGCAACAGGATATGGGATGGGAGTATTTTCGTATGTTGTACCCGTGTTTATAGCTGAAATCGCGCCAAAAGATCTACGAGGCTCGTTGACAGCAGCCAATCAGGTTGAGATCACTATTTGATATAACATATGAAATAAATTTATGTTGAATTTGCGATGTATTTTATATATAATATATACCATGTATCCAGCTTATGATCGTTGCAGCCGTGTCGCTTTCATTTGTGATTGGAAACGTGACGCCATGGAGGATATTGGCCTTGACAGGTCAAAACACAAACTATTTAATTTATTATTAACTACTCACAATTTTGTATAAATTGTGTTGCATTTTGTGTTTATTTAATTATATATTACTCTTTCAAAATTATAACATTTGTAAGTGAGAAAATTAGTAAAATTTGGGTACCTGGTTCTTGAAGCCTAATTAACCGGATCCTATAATCCAGAACCAGTCTGGACGAATTCCTGGTATTTGGACCGAGTACCAGATGAGCCAAAGGTCACTAGTCATGATTTTGTTACTCCTTGAACCGTGAAATTGTATGATTGCAGGAGTTGTTCCATGCATTGTTTTGGTGACGGGATTGTTTTTCATACCCGAGTCTCCAAGATGGCTGGTAAGATCTTCCATCTGCTTGTTTTTCATAATTCATACCATGCATGCATATATCCTAATTCAAAAATTCGGATATCAAAATGAAGTTGCCTTACTTGTAAAAAGGATCAACATATATGCAAAACAATGTTTGACAAACGTGCAGGCTAAAACAGGGAACCATAAAGAGTTTCAGGCTGCACTTAGGAAACTTAGGGGGAAAGATGCCGATATATCCGAAGAAGCCGCTGAAATCCAGGTTCGTGTTTCATAAATTTGTACCTTTCACCCGTTTCCACTTTCCCCCCTACGAGTTTTGTTATAAGGCATTTGAACCCATTCAACGTAATTTTAATACAGGATTATATAGAAACACTTGAAAAGCTTCCGAAAGCCAAACTATTGGATCTATTCCAGAAAAGATACTTGCGATCTGTCATTGTAAGCTCATGCATCTTGTTGCCAAAACATATATATATATATATATATATATATATATATATATATATATATATATAGTCCTGGTATCGAGTCCTAAAAGTAGAAAATTGCAACCGGACTTGGTTCCACCGGAACTGGCCCCAGCAAGATTGGTTCACGGCCTGAAGTAGCCGGTTCTTAGCCAGACCCAATGCTCAGCCTTACATACAATTAATTAAGTTTACTGTTTTTTGTCTTGTGATGTGAATTGAAGATAGGAGTCGGGCTAATGGTTTGCCAACAATTTGGGGGAATCAATGGTATTTGTTTCTACACGAGCAGCATTTTCGAGTCTGCAGGTATGTATATACATTGCCGCATTCAACTTTAATTTATCCTTCAATACAGAGGGATAGCTTACGTACTGTACTTTGTTTGCTTTTTAGGATTTCCTGCGGATCTTGGTACAATAATCTATGCGTTGTTACAGATCGTTATTACTGCGCTAAATGCACTGTTTGTAGATAAAGCCGGTAGAAAGCCACTTTTATTGGTAAACCAAAACACATTCGACATAGTAACCATTATTGACCCTTTTAATTTCATGTGTTGCATACTATTCAAGACATTCTAGTTTTTGTAGTTAATTAAATGAAAAAAAATGGAGTAGATATGACCCAACTAAACCGGATAAAGGTCGGTCGGAACACTCATGTGGCTGATCCAGACCAGATCATCAGGTCTTTTACAGACCAACCTAGACCAGGCTTTAACTGGACTGGTCCACTAAATAGGCCCAATGTGTCATGTTCGGTGGGTTGCACTACCATCAACCATGATCCGTTTTAAGGTAAAACTATATTTTTTTAGGTTTCGGCAGTGGGATTGGTTATGGGATGTCTATTAACGGCGCTTTCCTTCTACTTGAAGGTAACATTTGACATTTCATTCATTTATAACATTTTTTTCATTATTCATTTTGTAATGAACATTTTTCAGTCCTTAATTAATTATAATGTTCAATTGTATAACGTCTTCATCTTGTTCTGCCAGACTTATGAAATTGGACTATCAGCAGTACCTGCACTTGCTGTTACCGGCATACTGGTAACTTGAAACTAAGGCTATATATCTGAAAAACCAAAACTAACTATTAATTTGATATACGAGCTCTAAAATAGTTTTCTTGAACACGTACACACAGTTATATATTGGGTCATTTTCAGCTGGAATGGGAGCAATTCCATGGGTTATAATGTCGGAGGTACCATTAATTTTCACATATCTAAATTAATTCCATGTCCATGGAAATAACAACTCTTGCTAATTTGTATCCAGATATTCCCGATCAATATAAAAGGAGCGGCTGGAAGCCTTGCGACTCTGGTAAACTGGTTTGGTGCGTGGGCAATCTCATTTACCTTCAACTTTCTCTTGAGCTGGAGTTCATACGGTAAGTTTACGCCACAA